TTTTTATTCTGGAAGCAGTGGGCCACTGTCAAGAATTAGTAATCTTTGATAACTGTATTTATGGAGTCCCCTTTTAATTTAGAGACAATCACCTCATTTGAGGGTAGGAATTTCATAACTTCTTAATATAACATAGTTGATGTTTCCTATTTTTCTTTCCTAAATTTTTTAATTTCATTAAATTACTCCAAATTCTAATATTGAGTTAGAAAATACTTCATGTTCCTCCTTGTCCTCATTTCTAGGTTTAAAAGACACTCCTTGTGGTAAAGAAGATGTTTTAGCCTTGGCGTAATTTATTTGCCCCTTTCTGCCCTTTTTCCAGCTCTACCCTTTTAAAATGGCACAGGTACACAGTTGCCCTAGAAAAATCTAAAAAGTCATATTAGAATGTCAGAATTATTTACAGTCCTTTTTCTAATGATTCCTAACATGGAATTTGCTTGTCATGCACTATGTTTTGCATAGTTCTAGATTGCTTCTCTCCTTGATCAGTTTCCACCCATTGCTTCTCGTCCTGCCTTCAGGCACCTTGGAGAATAGCTTGACTCCCTCTTCTTTGGGGCAGCCCCTGAGATACTGGAAGACTGCTATCATGTCCCCCCTCGTCCTTCTCTTCATTAAACTAGACAGACCCAATTCCAGCAGCCATTCCTTATATGCTTTAGCCTCCAGTCCCCTGATCATCTTTGTTGCTCTTCTCTGCACTCTTTCTAGAGTCTCAGCATCTTAGATAAGACTGGGAAGAGGAACAATTTCCCTCCCAAAGGATGCCATTCTCACTTGTAATATTCTAATATATTCCAATATCCGGATCTACATTACATTTTGCTCTCCTGTACGTTAATCCAAAGAAGTATCTGTTCAAACCTCAGCCAGGCTATAAATAGGACATTATTGTCCTCATGTTTCTCAGCAACCTCTAACTAATGAGATAAAGTTAATTATACAACCTTTCATGCCCTCAATGAATCTGGATGCTTGCTGGCACAATTCAAATTTTTGTCCCTGATTAATGCTCCGTAATTAGCGTGACATTCCTCTTGAACAAAGAACAGCAGGAAATGTCAGGCTAAATGCATTAAATGCAGGCAAAGCGTCCAAATTCTACTCTGGTTTCCCACAAGTGTCTATGAGATAAGCGTGAGTCAGATCTAGAGGAAGGGCATCGAATCCAGTTAGAAGGGAGGGGGGGGGAAAGCAAAAGGTATGGAATTTGTTTATTATTGAGGTTTTTTTGTTTAATTTTCTGAGTTTGAAAGTATTTTAAAGTTAAAAGGATTGTTAACTGGTAAGTAGAAGCTATTTTTTTGTGGGGGATGACATAAACAGAAATAATCAGAAACCATCATTACTGGATTCATTAGCTTTTAAAAATGGCTGTTTGCTAGGAATCAATTCCAAATTCCTTATTGTCCCTTCCTATTTCTCTACACATCGTCCTGAAAATAAGTTAAGATTGCCAGGAATACCTTTAACCATGTTATGGTGGACTACTTCCGTGGTCTTAAGAACGAAGCTCAAGAACTGGCAGTTGGGATTATAATTTCCATCCACCCTTTGGATTCATATTAAAAGATTTGGGAAGAAACTGAAAGATGCAGCAAATGATGTGCTCACAGCTAAATAAATTGCATTAACAAGAGACATTTGGTTTCTGGAAGCACGATCTGCACTTTCTGAATGGATAACTCCAGGATCAAGATGAGTTATAAGGACTGGGAAGAGTTTTAAGTTTTGTCAAAGCATGGCAAACATGATTTCAAAATCATTAAAATGAGATCCTGTCACGGGCTGGAGGTTAAACCGCTGAAGTAAAGATTTCAGATGTCCATTATTTAGGAGGAGAAGAGTGGCTGTACTGGAACCTGTTACTTTTTAATGGAAAAATTAAGTTTATTGCCTTTGTTTTCTTTTCACAAGGTCCCTTGAGAATAAATTATAGATCCATAAGGCTTGAAGGGACCATGAGGGCCTTCTAATCGAACCCTCTGCCCAAGGCAGGAGTCCTTATACCACCCCAGACAAATGGCTGTCCAATCTTTTTCTTGAAAACTTCCAGTGCTGGAGCACCCACAACTTCTGGAGGAAATTTGTTCCATTGATTAATTCTTCTCACTGTCAGGAAAGTTCTCCTTAATTCCAGACTGGATCTCTCTTTCATGAGTTTCCACCCATTCATTCTTCTCTTGGCCTCAGGTGAGAAATAAGTAATATAATAAAATAAAATATAATAAAATAATAAATAAATAACAAATAAGAATAAATAAAGAGAAATAAATAAGATGAACTTTTAAGTCTGGATAGAGGAAAGGAAAACAGGAAATCATTTTAACA